ATGCCGAGCATTGACAAGTTAGTTGAAGCAGCTTCAGGCAACGAGAGGTTAAGCCTCTTGGATGCATATTCTGGGTATCACCAGGTGCCGATGGCTCCCGAAGACGAAGAGAAAACCTCGTTCTATGCTGGCGATGAGATCTATTGTTATGTCATGATGCCGTTCGGCTTAAAGAATGCAAGTGCGACTTATCAGAAAATGGTGACCATAGTCTTCCGAGCTCAGATTGGCAAGAATCTGGAGGTGTATGTGGATGACATTGTGGTAAAGAGCCTGAAGGCAGAAAACCATCTAGCTGACCTCGACGAAACCTTTAACAACCTCAGAAGGAACCGGATGCGGTTAAACCCAGCCAAGTGTATCTTCGGAGTGGAGTCTGGAAAGTTTCTAGGTTTCATGGTGTCCCGAAGAGGGATTGAGGTCAATCCGGAGAAGATCAGAGCAATCGCCGAGATGGAACCGCCGAAGTCAATTAAGGACATACAGAGGTTGACTGGAAGGGTGGCAGCTCTGCATCGGTTTATCTCCAGATCAGCAGATAAGTGTTTACCATTCTTCAGAATTATGAGGTCAGCCGCCCAAAAGGATGAGTCAGGAAAGCAGAAGAAATTTGAATGGACTCAGGAATACCAAACTGCATTCGACGAGCTGAAGTCTTATCTTAGCTCGCCACCTCTACTGACTAAGGCTATAGATGAAGAGATTCTTTATCTATACCTGGGGATTTCAGATGAGGCCATTAGTTCAGTCCTGGTGAGAGAGGAAGCCAAGCAGCAGAAACCAATCTATTATATCAGCAGTGTATTGCACGGAGCAAAACTGAGGTACCCTATAGCCGAGAAAGCAGCCTTAGCAGTTGTCACTTCGGCCAGGAAGTTGAGGCCATATTTCCAATCACACCCAATTATCATTCTTACAGATCAACCTCTCCGGCAGATTCTGCAGAAACCAGAGTGCTCTGGAAGATTAATCAAGTGGGCAATAGAACTGGGGGAGTTTGAGATCACGTTTCAGCAGAGGTCGACCATCCGAGCTCAAGCATTAGCAGATTTTATTGTCGAATGCACCCCATGCCCCTCAACTTCTACTCCAGAATTCAACGAATGGACCTTATATGTTGACGGAGCCTCTAGTAGCAAGGGTTCAGGGGCTGGAGCTCTTTTGATTGGTCCAAACGGTTATCGAAGCGAACATGCTTTGAAGCTCAACTTTGATGCGACAAATAATATGGCTGAGTATGAAGCTCTGTTACTTGGCCTACAACTAGCATTAGAGTTGAAAATCAGTACAATTCAAGTGTACAGTGACTCCCA